ATACATTTCCCTCCATCATATTTGGATTTTGTTATCCACATCTTTGGCTCACACAGGCTGGTGTGCTTCTTCAATGTGCACTTAGTTGATGCCTCACTTAGATGGCTGCTTGTTTGACTATAAGACCCCAGACACTGTTTCAACTGACAGCTGACCACTGCTGTCTTCATCTGCTTTCTTGACCACACTTTCCTGTAGCACCCTTATCTTCAGTGATCTCTTCATGAAGGCAAGTATCAAGTAAGGCCATGTTATAAGAACTAACTGTTCTTGGATTGGGGCAAGAATTAAGTGGGAGCCCAGGATCCATCTGCTTGTCTATTGGTTATGAATGACTAGTTTACTTTATTTTTAAATTTTAAAAAATGTACGTTTTTTTTTAATGGATGGACTATATTTGATTCAACAAATATTTAGCCCCTGAGATGTTCCAGGCACTATTCTGGATCCTTGGGACGTAGAGATAGAAAGATTTGGCCTTTGGAACGTGAAGACTTTCTCCTCTGAGTAAGTGTTAAACTTTGGGTTAGCGTAAGGAACTGCTTGAGTAGGTGAATGGGTATAGGAGGGTACAGTGTCTGGAGCATAGCTGTCAATAATGACATTCAATGCAAATTATCAGTGCTCACGATGTGTATTAACATCACAAAGACATACACAAGAGGTAGGTAAAAGGAGCAGCTGTCCGAAGCATGTACTGAGACTGCCTTATGCTGCAAAAAAGCATAGGATTGGAAATGTTTTCAATTTCATTGCTGTCCTGGGATCTAAACCAAAAGTGTTACATCTGACCACGGCATAAAAACCAGTGATACCAGCCTTCTAATAGAGATTCTTGCCGAATGGAACCGCCATATGGAGGCTGGAGAGATAGGATGGCATGTATGCCCCTCTCACTTTGGAGGTGTTTATTATATTTTGTATTGATGAAAACAGTAATTAAAAAAACAAAACCTGTTGCAGAGTTTCTAAAATGTGGATGTTGTTCAGTATCCTTGAGTCAGTTCCAACCCAGCGACCTTATGTCCAGCAGAGACACTGCCCAGCCCTCGGCAGTCCTCAGCAATCGTTCCTGCGGCGGAGTCACCGTGCCAATTCAACCCATCGGGGCTTCTCCTCTCTTTCCCTCACCTTCTGCTTTAGCAAGCATGCTGTCCTCCTCCAAGGACTGGTCTTTCCTGATTCATTCTCCGTGTTCCACCTCTCATATGCATATACAGTGACTGGGGTCAGACTCCCCTTAATTTGAAAGTGACATCTTGCTTTAAAGAGCTCTTTTGCAGCAGATTTGCCTGCTGCTTCCATGGGCATTGAGTGTGGATCCAAAGGACGTGAACTCCTTCCTTTGATCATTTCACTCTTTTCTCCATTTATCTTAGTGTTGCTATGTGAGGAGTTTGGTTTTTTTTTTAGATTAAGACTACTCTTTGGCCTTCGGAAGTAATCTGGTTTACTTTAGAGGTCATATTATGACAAAAACAAAAGCCTACAAGAACAACAACACAAAAACAAACAAAAAAGAAAAAGGGAAACTATTTTAAAGGAAAAACAAAGCCATCAGCCAAAGGAATGGGTCTTTGATAAAGAAATATCCAGAAATCTGATTTGGGAGACAGGCATGAAATAGCCACAGAGCCTTCTTGTCACTTGGAGAATGTTTTTCCCCCTCACAGGCACTCCACATACTTCACGCACTCAGTTGTCCTCTTTGTAAGTCAAGGACTGTCTTTTGTAATCACGAATCTCCAGGGCCTAACATAGGATCTGACACCAAGTAGATCTCAACTCTCTAATTTTGTTCCCCCTTCACATCACGTGGTTAAGTGCTGTCAGTTTGCTTCTGACTCAGACCGATCCTGTGTGCAACAGAACGAAACGCCCGCTGGGTCCTGCCCAAGCCTCAATGGCGTTCAGCTTGAGCCATTGTTGCAGCACTGTGTCAATCCATCGCACTAGAGGATTCCTCCTTTCCACTACCCTCTACCCAACCAAGCACGCCCTCCTTTACCAGAGACTGACCTCTCCTAATAGCATATGCAAAGTACATGAGACAAAATCTCACCATCCTCCTAAGGACCACCTGGCTATACTTCTTTCAAGACAGCTTTGTTTGTTTTTCTGGCACTCCACCGTATGTTCAATGTTCTTTTCCAACACCGTAATTCAAATGCACCAATTGTTCTTCATGATTAAAGTTTCCATGGCTGGGGTCAGGTACATATTAGCCCTCAAAGTGACATCCTTGCTCTTCAACACTTTAAAGAGGTCTTGGGCCCCAGATTTGCCCGCTGCAATCACCATTCTATTATTGCCACTTCCATGAGCATGATCGTGGATCCGAGCAAAAGGAACATTCAGTTTTCTCCATTTATGATGTTGTTGTCTGCTGATCCAGTTGTGAGAATTGGCAGGGGGGCGGGGCGTGGGGATGCTTACAAAGGCTTAATTTTTTTTAATGTTTTATTTTTCTTTTGATTTTCATCTGTCAGTATTTCAAGTCCCCCTCCCTTTCAGCAGACAAGGTGTGTCATCTGTGTTTGGGCCAGGTCCGGACCAAGGCAGCCCCTTGAACCAGCTTCTCGAGAAGACAAATGACCTGGCTGAATTTCAAAGCACCTGAGCTTCAAAGCACCTGCCTTCAGCATTTCACAGAGCTTACCTCTCCAGACAGAACACCGCTCCCCTCTCCCTAGCATTGTTTCCTAGAAACACCATGATACTGACAGGACGTCACCTGGCCCGAAACTTGCAACTGCAGCACAAAGAACCTCCCTTCCCCTTACCGGCCCATATGCCTTTAATCTCATACCCTACATATGTCCCACTGCCCCAGTACCAGGCAGGACTTCCCTGACCTAACTCGTTGGTTCGGGGAACCCGCCAGGGGCTCAAGATGCCCCGTCCCTTTCCCTGCTCTCCCTTCCCTCCCGGGAGTTCTTTCCCTCCCTCAACAAGATCTTTCTCAACTGCACATTCCTGGCTAAATTCTCTGTTCTGCGCCGCAGTTTCCAACCTTTCAATCTGCATATCACAGGATCTTAATAATCACTAATCCTGATGTAAGATTCGTCTTCATATAGTCCAGCTTCTTGGATTATTTGCTCGACATACAGTTTGAATAAATCTTGTGAAAGAACTAACCGTCACACACTTTTTCGTGATTTTAAACCATGCAACATGGTCGTCTTCTTCTCAAAAGACAGCCTCATAGTCTAGGTATAGATTCTGCATGAATATAATTCCAGTATTCTGGAATTTTCACTCTTAATAATGGTGTTTACAGTTTTTTTGTGATCCATACAGTCCAATGCTTTTACATAGTCAATAAACAAGTAAACATCTTTTTTTGCTATTGTCTGCTTTCAGCCAAGATCCATTGGCTATCAGCAATGATATCCCTGGCTCAACATCCTCTTCTAAACCTGGCTTGAATATTTGACATGTCCCTGAACATGTACTGCTGAAACCATTTTTAAATGATCCTTAATAAAAAATTACTTTCTTATAAGGGACAATAATGATTCATTCTGTTGGGTCACCTTTCTTTGAATTGGGAACAAATACGAGTCAGCAGGTTGGGTAGCTATCTTCCAAACATCTCGTTGGGCATCCCATCAATTCCTGGAGCCTTGTTTTTCCGCTGCTTCCTCAGTCCATTGGTTCTTGATCATCTGCTGCCCCTTGAAATAGTGGCGCATTGGCCTTTTGGGTTGCGTGGTTCTGTGTATTCCTTCCATCTTTGTTTGATGCTTCCTGTATCACTCAATATTTTGCTTATAGAAGTTTCCAATATCACAACTCAAAAATTGAAGTTTTCTTCAGTTCTTTC